GGAAGCTGGGAATTATTTCTGCAGGCTTCAGACTGGTGGGAGCCTTGTGTGATATCCCCCATGGGTAGGTTAGAGTGGCTCAGTATATAGTCGCATTTACTAGGGACCAGACTTATGCAGTATCATTACAGATAGGCTTGAAATACACCAATATTGTTAGCTCCCCATTAGCTTTTATAGAGTAGCAGCTGCTCTTCCAGAGGTCCACACGTTCACACCACACTTCATAATACACTAACATATCAATGTTGTATGTCTACTATAAATAAAACAGTAACAAGTGTCCCATTTTAAATAACACACACACACACACAAGGTTCTTTCTACAGCAACTAAAGTGTGCACAGTGAACATGTTACAGAGAGGAGGCTCCATTTGAAGTTTACAGTTGTCTTCAAATGACTTCACCGCATCCTTTGTGGTACGCTTCTATGTACACACTTTAACTCGTTGTCGTAAATGATTCCTTTCATCTGCTTCCCTCGCTGATAGAAAAAGTGAGGGCAGAGTATCCATAAAACACAGGTGCTCACACTGCACCCATATGGCATAGATCTCAGATTTCTATGCTGACATCATGTGGTCTATTTGGTGCCATGTTTGTAGATAATTCAAACCAGCCTGAAGAGGGCTGTTGGCTGTTGCTTCGGCCGACTGCTCACATGCGTGTGAAGGATTATTCCAATGCACAGAGAAGCCATTCTTCCCCTCGCTCTGCAGCACCACTGACACACAGACCTAGAAACACTGCTGCCATATTTAAATCGCACAGCACACTGACAAAAGTCAGAGATACAGATGACAGGGAGGGGAAAGCCCCTGCAATCTGAGTCCATTAGGCAATCAACAGAAAACCTTGTGCTCCGAGCTGAATCCTCAGCAGTGACGTTGTCACACTGAAATTTGACTGTGAAAAATTGCTTAGTGAGGCAGCTGTGAGTTTGGCAGGGGAGAGCTGGGGGGCTGCAGAGGCACAGCGGACCCCCGGCCCATATCCCCTCCTCCTCAGCAGCATTCCCTCTTTGTCTCTAATCACTTTCTCTTGCCATTTGTCTCTATCCAAACTCAAATCCGCTGCTTCTCTGTAATTTTTCCCTTCCATGTTTCTTACAGACCGAAGCAATAAACAAGCTGAGGGGTTTGTGGTAATAAATAAGGGGGAAATAATATTTGTTTGCCTAATATCTAAGCCAAAAACAAAGGCACCATTTAGACAAATAGTCCCACTTGTTTTGCTACATTAGCCAAACAGCTGGCTTTCATTATGCATTATAAATCTCTTCCAAAATCTTACCCTTCATCACCTGGCAAAGCCATTCTCATTCCTCCCTACTCAGCCTTCTCCTATAAACATAAATATTAAACACCAAACCTCCCGACCTAAAAGGTCAACTTTTTGTGAACAGTCCTCATTGAAAAGAATCAGATATAATCAGATATAAGACACTACATTTCTGTCTTCACTCTTCACTATAACCGTGTATGAAGCTGGAAGACACTACAAGCATCTAGTGTAAACTATCAGTGATGCATGGACATGTACAGTGGACAGCACAGAGCAGCAGGCATGTATCCATGGGGAGAGGAGAGGGGAGGTGGGAGTGGTGAGATAGTCCTGCTGGACTGGAAAAGCAGGAGTTAAGATCCAGTTTCTCCATGTCTCATTCCCCCACTGTTTCAGATTGTCTCAGTCTCCTGGGAACTACACTGCATGCAAGGCAAAGTCTGTTTTCCTGCTATGAAAAAAAAGTAAAGTATGCAAAAATATAATTTGCTTGAGTAGAAACTATGAGAAATCCAGCACTGGCAAAAAATAGCATCACCTCATTAAGCTAGGAAACAAAAACAACAAAATCCATAGGGGTGACGTTGGAGCAATGACCAAAATGTAATGGCAGTTAAATGAGGTAGCACAACAGGGCATTGTTGCAAAGTTCGGTTGCCAGTTTGTTTGGTAACATAGTTACGACTGGTTTCTGAACATGTAAGTCTACCTGGCAATGCGCCATTAATCATGGTTCTTGCCCTGCAGCATGCAATCAGTCTTTTCTCCTTTTTACATCAGGCCTTGTGTCATCAAATCCATCAGAGAAACCCTCAGTTTAAACATTTTCAACTATAATGTCTGATCAGTAAGCAGCTGACATGACGATATACATAATCTATTGAGGAGACAATGCTTTGGACTCTAGTTCTGGAAAGGAGGTCAGATTTAAATCCAGCAGCTCAGTCCATCACTGGTGCCCTTTCTCCCACACCAGGCCATCAGAGGAATGTCTTCAGGCCACTGTGACTGGACACGATTCCGCTGAGGACACAAGCGGATAAAGCCAGAAGCAGAGACAGGAAGAAGTGTTGTGTTGTCTATAGTTCTGTGCAGTGTGTGGGCCATTGGCACAGCCCAGTCTTTCTCAAACACATACAAAAGCAGTACTGACAAGAGTGGAGTGCAGCACAGAGGGCGTGGCAGAGAAGGAAACCCCATTAACAAAGGACAGAATAAGTGGACTGGCTCTAAAACCAAAGATTTTTTTGTTAAGCTTTTGCGCTAAGTAAAACGTGACGGAAAAAGAAATTCATAATGAGACAAACCTATGTGTAATAAGAAAAATCCATATGAGGAAATTTCCTTGAAAAATGGGCACTACCTCGTCTTAATCTCAAGCCCATCTCAGGTTCCAGTAACACTCTCCAATCAAAGCAGTGCGAAGATATCTAATCACCCAGTCACAGTCAGGACATGAAAAGCAAGCCGACTCTAGCCATGCCATTTCTGAGGCAAAGAGACTGCAGGGTAACAGATGGAGCTGATATCACGTCCCCCGAGTGGCCGTCTGTGTAAAAACATAGAAAACAACACACACCCTTCTTGTTGTGGTTTGTCTACAAGGACCGTGCTTCCTCTGGGTTCTTCTTTTGGAGATTCGGTTTGCCCAGAGTCAACTTGTGGCCAAAACTTGGATCAGCGCACACACAGTGTCCACCCACAATAGTGCATGTAATATGGCACGAAAACAAGAAACAGCTTTGGGCAATGCTGCAGTGCAAACAACTACACATCAAACCAGATCCTGTTCACCAAAAATACATGGATATTTTTATCTATTAGACTGCATTCAAAAGTAATACAGTGGGGCAAAAAAGTATTTAGTCAGCCACCGATTGTGCAAGTTCCCCCACTTAAAATGATGACAGAGGTCAGTAATTTGCACCAGAGGTACACTTCAACTGTGAGAGACAGAATGTGAAAAAAAAATCCATGAATCCACATGGTAGGATTTGTAAAGAATTTATTCGTAAATTAGGGTGGAAAATAAGTATTTGGTCACCTCAAACAAGGAAAATCTCTGGCTCTCACAGACCTGTAATGTCTTCTGTAAGAAGCTTTTCTGTCCCCCACTCGTTACCTGTATGAATGGCACCTGTTTGAACTCATCATCTGTATAAAAGACACCTGTCCACAGCCTCAAACAGTCAGACCCCAAACGCCGCCATGGCCAAGACCAAAGAGCTTTCGAAGGACACCAGGAAAAGTATTGTAGACCTGCACCAGACTGGGAAGAGTGAATCTACAATAGGCAAGCAGCTTGGTGTGAAAAAATCAACTGTGGGAGCAATCATCAGAAAATGGAAGACATACAAGACCACTGATAATCTCCCTCGATCTGGGGCTCCACGCAAGATCTCATCCCGTGGGGTCAAAATGATCATGAGAACGGTGAGCAAAGATCCCAGAACCACACGGGGGGACCTGGTGAATGACCTGCAGAGAGCTGGGACCAAAGTAACAAAGGTCACCATCAGTAACACACTACAACGGCAGGGAATCAAATCCCGCAGTGCCAGACGTGTTCCGCTGCTGAAGCCAGTGCATGTCCAGGCCCGTCTGAAGTTTGCCAGAGAGCACATGGATGATACAGCAGAGGATTGGGAGAATGTCATGTGGTCAGATGAAACCAAAGTAGAACTTTTTGGTATAAACTCAACTCGTCGTGTTTGGAGGAAGAAGAATACTGAGTTGCATCCCAAGAACACCATACCTACTGTGAAGCATGGGGGTGGAAACATCATGCTATGGGGCTGTTTTTCTGCCAAGGGGACAGGACGACTGATCCGTGTTAAGGACAGAATGAATGGGGCCATGTATCGTGAGATTTTGAGCCAAAACCTCCTTCCATCAGTGAGAACTTTGAAGATGAAACGAGGCTGGGTCTTCCAACATGACAATGATCCAAAACACACCGCCCGGGCAACAAAGGAGTGGCTCCGTAAGAAGCATTTGAAAGTCCTGGAGTGGCCTAGCCAGTCTCCAGACCTCAACCCCATAGAAAATCTGTGGCGGGAGTTGAAAGTCCGTGTTGCTCGGCGACAGCCCCAAAACATCAATGCTCTCGAGAAGATCTGCATGGAGGAATGGGCCAAAATACCAGCTACTGTGTGTGCAAACCTGGTAAAGACCTATAGTAAACGTTTGACCTCTGTTATTGCCAACAAAGGTTATGTTACAAAGTATTGAGTTGTATTTTTGTTATTGACCAAATACTTATTTTCCACCCTGATTTACGAATAAATTCTTTACAAATCCTACCATGTGGATTCATGGATTTTTTTTTCACATTCTGTCTCTCACAGTTGAAGTGTACCTCTGGTGCAAATTACTGACCTCTGTCATCATTTTAAGTGGGGGAACTTGCACAATCGGTGGCTGACTAAATACTATTTTGCCCCACTGTATATTCAAGAATTTTAGAGCATTCTGTTTGGTTAAATTTTGATTGTGGATTTAAAGGTCTGAACTGCAGGCTTAACATTACAGAAAGGTTATGTTTGAGGCTAAATGATAGACATAGACTCTGGTGTTTTAATATACTGTGTAGATGCTTACAACATAAATAACTACCACCAATAAGTCAGTGAGCAACCACCTTTGTAAAAATAATGACTTAGGATACCATGTTATTTGCGGTGAGTAACATAATCACAGTGAGTTAGGTCATTACCTCCTCCTGCGATGCATAGTGAGGGTCTGCGCGATCCACCGACCAGTAGCAGTAGTCAAAACAAAATTCCAGAAGCTTCTCCCTGGAATCTACAGCTCCTTCTGTCCGTCCATCCAACTTTAGGAAGGAGATAAAAGTGTAAGACATATAATTAGTCTACATTTAAGATACATAAGTAACAATGCTTACCACAGTAAAGCAGCACGGCCAGTAAGTACTAAATTCTACCTTATACAAATAAGCATAGTAACAGACTTTACAGCGTGCATGCTTTTAATAACATGAAAAAACAAGAAAATGAAACCAAACATCCCAGTCATGAAGTGAGTACTATGGACATTGTTTATGAGGCTCTAAACAACAGTGTGGAATTGCAAGCAAGCTTTTTCCATTCATTAGCAACAAGCTTACTCCTACTCCAGTTCTTTCTTTGCCACAGTGCATTAACACTGCACAACTTTCTGCTTACTGCAAGTGAATCCTGAACTGAGGAAAGACAGCACAGCAGCATTTGCATTCACTCGTGCGTAACAACTGCACTGGAAAAGTCCAGCACCTGAACAATGCTTCTAAGTCACTGCCTGCAATGTAAAATAAAAAAATCATTACAATTTACTGGGGATCCAATGAGTCTCTGCTACATCTGCTCATGATAACATTTGTGTTTTATTATTGTTCTTGCACTTAATTTCCCAATCTAATATTTTGCCTGTGGTTGAAAAGGTAATAATTATATTTATGTCATTATATCATTTAACTTAAAGTAGACCTACTAAGCTCATTATATTTTCTTATACTGGGCCTTGGTACAGCCAGCTATCTGAAGGGCTCAATCATTTTCACTCCAGTACATAAGTCCGACCATTTTCTAACCAGTGCTTTAAATGTCACAAAGACTACTTAAAAGTAATGACAAGAAAGCTTTCCCGAGAGTGTTCTGGGTTTGTTGATGAATAAACGTGATCAGTCTAAATATTGACTTCGTTAGTTCGTTAGAATTGCACAAACCCTGTTTCTGCTTTATATACTGTATCTTCATTTACATGAGTACATGTTTTAATAAAACACTGCATCTATTTAATGTTTTTTTCCTAGCAAAATATGAATCAGGGGTTGTCAGGATTTTTGCACAGTACTGTATATGAGATAGCATGTTACTATTATTATAAAAGATTATATCTGAACACAGTGGCTTTGAGGAAGGTTATTTTTTCTTTCTGCTGTTCTAGGTGAAAGTAGTCCCTGTTGGGGTGAACTGATAAATAGATTGAGAAAGTTGCTGACATTACATGTTGTGTTTACATTTGTTCAGATCAGATTCCATTGTAATACAGCACAACTACAGCTGGTTAAAAAAAAAAAAGCACCAAGAAGGGGGCTGGAAAAAGAGTCTTGTAGGTCTCTATCATCTGTGTAAGTAATCGTTTACTGACTGCAGCATTAGGCAGCACTAAGCCCTGGGATTCAATTTTGTTCACAGCAATTGGGTTGCCTGAAAGCATGACTACTTAACCCCTGTGCACTGTGAGGAAACGGACAATGAACTTGTAGTGTGAGGGATGAACTAAGAGCAACACCAGCCCCTGGCAAATCTCCTGAACGACAAAGCTCCAACAACTTATATTAAAGAAACCTGACAACTTGTAAAACATTATCCTTTACTTCTTTCTTGTTTTACACAGGCTAATTTCAGTAGGTCTTTATAGGTTGTTTCACTTGCTGTTTACTGCGACTGAAATCCAGTCTTTATTATTTCTGTCTCAAACGCTCCAAAACTGTCCCAGTTTCCATAAATAATTATTCCCATGAGATCTGCAAGAGCCGTGGGTTCACGATCCCTTTCCAAGGCAGAGGGAGGCCATATGTGGTTTGTCTCCTGTCACATCATGTGCAACAGATTCTCTAGTCCACCACCCAAACCTTCTTCCTGAAAGCATGCATTTAAAACAAAATGCAAATAAAGAGAAGCATTTCTTTAAGATTAAATGTGAGTTTCAAAAATGGTTTCAAGCTGAAAGTCCTTTATCATTTTGAATCATAATAATAGCTGTTGTTTCCACAGGCTAGACCCTTTAAATAGAGCTTTCTCACTTCTATATTAGCTCATACAGATATTCCAAATCAGAAATAAAGTGTAACATTTTCCATACTGAAGCTGTAGAGACAGCATTAGACTGTCTGCAGGCAATGCAGCTCAACCAATCAGACATGCCTACTCAGCTATATGACACAGCAGGTTGGTAATGTGGTGAAAGTATCAGCTTACAGGACTGTAAGCTCACAAAATAATTAGTTCCAAATGTCAAGAACTTCAATGAAACCTCGAATAATAACTCCAGCCACATGCCAGATTCACATAAACCCCCCTAATTTAACAGTAAAGCTACTGCATGGTGTTTTTATCTTTCACAGTTTCTTCTTGGAGATGTTTGGGAGGTATCTGAAGTATGACGTAGTTGCGCTGTTGTTTATATTTGTGCACCGAGGGCTCAGACTGCATGTGTTCGACAGGAAGGGTCGCTATGCTGTGTGTGTGTGTGTGTGTGTGTGTGTGTGAGAGCTCAACACATACTGTACAACAAACAGAAGCAGCTTAAAGGAGGGGGGAAAAGTTGAACTAAGCCTGTAAACATCCTGTTGTTGCTATGTGCAACTCCCATTCTGTCACACTTGTATACAGGACTACTCACCTTCACGTTTCGGATCTTCACAAACTTATCCTCCACCCGAACAGCTAGCCTTCCTCCATCTGCGCTCTCCCTGTGAGTAAGAAAAGAAAAAAAAAAAAGTGTATGCTTATTATTATTATTATTATTAGGTGTGGGTAACAACTGAGAAGGTTGATGCTTCCACTAGAGAGAAATGGCCCTACGGGATGCTATCAGTACTGACCAGGCTCTCACACCTCAAATGCAAACCAGACAGAGCTTTAAGAACATTTTCACTCTAAATTCAGAAGCTGTATAATCATCCTATACACTGTTTCAAATCGGTTTTAAAAATCCTCTTTTGCTGCAGCTGATATAATTCAGAGTGTCGAGATAAATTTACGCTGGCTCCACTCGCCTTGAGGCCATCACATGACAATTAACACAATGAATTGTGTGTGTGTGCGCATGTGATCCATGAAATTGCAACACAAGTGCACCACTGACCAGTCCCAGATTCAAATGAAAACAGACCCCGACATGCTCTGCAAAAACTTTGTCTGAGATGCAGCTGGAGCCGTTTCCACAAAGTCCAGAGAGCACACAAGGGTTCTGTGAGCGTAATCAAGACCACTGTGTCATCCGTTGTGTGCGCTGTATGTGTATGTGTGTGCTTCAGCAGCTGGACCAAGCAAATCTGATGCAACACAAGCAAAACTGAAGGCAATCACAATACGAAGCTGAGAGGATTTCGATCTCCAGGAGTGATAATGATGGCAAATGCTGCCTGCAGTGGCATCTAGCTCCATCTCTGTGGTGGGCTAGGGACACACGAGGCGGCTGTTGTAAATCATCCCCCTGTGCTTCACCACGTGGGACTCATTTTGCCAACCCCAGCAGCGGCCCAACCCAAAACCACCAACCTTCAATCTTAGGCTCTAAACAGCGTGTACATGAGGTGGTTGGGGACTGGAAAACAGTAAACCTTGCACAAAAACGTGTTTTAATACAAACTTAAGATGAGCTCAGGCTGACATGTTTTGTTTGGTTTGTTTTTTTGCATATGTGAGATGTTGCCCACATTGTCAGGGGCACCTACTGAATCCTGCCAGTCAACTAAAACAGAAGAGCAACACGCTCAAATGCAAGGTCGAATGAAGAATGCAGACCTGGCTGGTGTAAATGTTATCTCTGTTACACAGCAGGTCCTTATTCAAATATATAGAGGAAGGAAATACATCCTTCAAAGCGATGAGCAAAATGAGGGTGTCAGAATCCCAAATCAGGAAGGACAGATTTGCATGACAGTGAACATTTAATATAAGAAATTCTTTTGTTATGTAAAACACCAGGAAGACCAGCTGAAAGAATCATTGTCCAGCCTTTCATAGCCTGAATAATGCTTTGTTACGGTACTGTAGTGGCCTCTGAGGTTAAGCAACCCAGCCAGAGTTCAAAATAATTAAATACACCACCATGGAACTTGTCTGAAGTGTTTCTCCAGACCCCCTCAAAATAACAAACTGCATTTAACATACTGTAGCAATTTCCTGTTGATGTAAATGGCAGCTTTTAAAACCTCCTGGCGTGTTTTTGGTAGTTCCAGCAGATTTCATAGCGCTATAAAATGTAACAAAATCTTCCCACCTAAACATAAAGCGGAAAATTAAACCAAACCAACGTGTTCATTCCAACTTTCCTGCCTTGTTTAAGGTAACAAATGCCTTAAAAAAATATGCATCACATTTCCATGTGATCAAAGTGAAAAAGGTTTTTGTATGGAATATGCATAACACTGTCAGACATAATGGAATATAATGACTTATATGATTGTAGCTAAAAGCCACGAAACGAGGCTTTAAGCAGGGGTCAGTCAGAAATGTAATTCATTCACTTCCTGCCTGAATTTAGACATATTTCCTGCATTTTTCTACTACTACTCAGCTCTACACAGGCTGATTTAGTAGGCAGCACCCCTGACAGCCACAGTTGTCATCATTCAACATGTGCACCACTCATCGTTTAAACCACGGCGTTGTACTGAGCTAGCTAACGAGCTAGTTTAACGCTCGATTTCGATTTAAAGCAGCAAAACGGACAAAATAGAAGCAAAAGAGGGCAACATACGAAGTATAACGCCTTGTTGAACACACCAAGAAGCAGGCAACATTACATGGTTTTAAATACTGGTAGCAGCACTCCAGACACAAAGAAGCAATAACACAACAATAATAAACTATTAAATTATGTTGCATTAGCTGGATAAGCTAACTCGGGAACTTACCTCGCGTTGAGAGGTCGGACTCGAATCGCAACTTTTACGTTTGCCATGATGTGTGTTATTGTTTTGAGGGGTTTTACACGCAACTCAGCAGCTGTCCAAGTCGGACTTAGTGTAAAATAACGGTTTTAATGTGAGCATGGTGAACATCGCTTCATATTTCTCCAATACAGTGGGGCAAAGTTGTCCGGTAAGCCCCCCCCGCTCTTGTTCAAGCCATCTCCCGACTTCTGATCGAGAATCCGAACGTCTCCAAAAGTCTCAGCAGAGAAGTGAAACTTCCTGCAGGGCAGACATGGAAAGAGAGGGAGGGGATGCTGCTGGATACTCCTCCCTTTTAGCCACATTCAAATCCTTTTTTTTTTTTTGCATGTCTGTTATTATTTACATTTCTCTACATTTCAAAAGGTCTTTAAATTGAGTTTCACATTGATTAAAAACACCCCCCAAAAATCTGCAGATTATTCAAGCTGATAAACTTTATTTTCTTTTTCATTACGAAATTGTATGTTACTCATTGCAAACATGACAATACACAATAAACACTTAAATCTGAATACATCACTGTCATTTAGAATTTAAACTATGCGGCAACATTAAAAAGAATATCAGTTTAAAAGCAGCAGGGAGTAGGGCGCTTGTTCAACATGAACAAAAACATGATCACAAATGCTTGCATTTATGAAAGAGACGCAGTCACTAGTGAAGCGGTCAACAGCAGAGTGAAAGTGCTATACTGAAATGAAGACAACAATGTGTCTTACACAAACGTGACTTTTCTAATTTTGAAACTTGTAGTATTTGTTATAGATTTTACGTGATAAATATTAATAACGCAATTTTTTTTTTTTTTTTATGCAAAAATTCCCCATTTTATTGCCCAGTCTTCTTCAGTCTTAAGCGTGAATCTACTATGACTCCAATCTATGCATCGTCTCGATCTTTTGTTTATTGTTTGCCTAAAGACACAAGCATCAATCCAGGTTTGCCTGCAGGAAATTCCTTTGGATCTAAGATGAGATTGTGTGGTCCATAGATGTTACTCCTGACTGACGGGGTTTTCTGGTTCTACTTGGCACCTTAGTTCTCGGTTTGCAGCTACAGAACCTAAGCCTGAGGCTTGCAAAAGCTGACTGTTGACTCTCTTTGACGGTCTGTGAAGCAGAAAGATAGTCAGCAAAAAGAAGTCACTCAGAACTGTGTACCTCTTGAACAACACAAGCAGATGTTACATTAAACACTGTGGCGAAAACACAATTGCGGCGGGGAAACTGGATAGTACTATTGCTATCATGTAGCTCCCTCTACTGTCTGATGTGAGACCTGCAGAATGTCCATGTGGCTTTGTAACTCCGCCAGAGGTGAGACGGGTTTCACGGTCTTTAACTTCAGCTGAAAATTCGCTATCTGCTCCTAAAGAGAAAAAAAATGACAAGAAAATTAGAACAGGAGAGCAGAAAAAGCCAGAGGTCAGATCATTAGTATTAAGAAATAATTCCAAAGCTATACAAGATGACAAGAAAATGAAGCTTCACCACAGGTAAGGCCAGTTCTGTTAGCTTCTTCCAATGGGATTTGACCTCTTCTTCACTCAATAATCCTCTGTCCACCAGCCTTCCAATTACAAACCGGTAGTTCTTCCTCTAAAAAACACAACAAAAATAATAAAAACATTTGCAGAAAATTAGAGATTTCAGTGTCAAATGACCTTAAATTAAATAATTAGAGGTTATAGAAAAAGGTTACATTTTTAAATATGTATATAAATAAAACTGTTTAAGGAACACTGGGCCTGACAGAACTGAACAAAAAAAAAGAGGAAGAATTCAAAATGATGGAGAATGCTGGAGGCCAAATCTTTCAATTCAAGACAGGGACCGTTTCACATGTCATTCCCCTTGGCCTTGTTTCCAGTCTGTTTACTCTAGAAAGCAGACAGACTGGAAAGCAGGAGGAGTATTAAAATCCACTGGAGAAGCAGTGAAAATAAGTCAAAGAAGAAGAATCCAGGAAGGAAATAAATAAATAAAGTCTCCATCCAGTATAAACATGCTATAAGTGTTTAGGCAAGTAGGTTTGAACAATTTATAGTAAAGAAACTTTCAAGAAAAGAAACATCAACAGAACTGTTCCATTTTGCCGACACTGTTCAGTCTTGTAGATTTTTAACACATTGAAATTGAAAAGGAAAAAAAAAATTAAAAAAATAAAACGATGTGTGTTGCACACCTCGATCTAATGTTTTTTTAGGATCTATCCAAGGACATGTATAACAAGTTTGATATATGTTCAATATCACTGTCATATTATGATCATTAATACATCTATATCATTCATACCTCTGTGTCGCTGGCCTTCAGCACAGCAGTGACTGTAAGTGGGGTAAAGAGCAGGTGGATGGGGGCGGAGGAACAGCTGTCTTTCTCCCACAGCTCAGCGAGCTGCTCCAGCAGCGCTGTGACAGGAGGCTCTGACCCTGAACCATTACCAACAGCATCCCCGCCACGTCCGCTGCACTCTGACAGAGGCAGCACCGGGAGCTCTGCCGACACTGAACAGATACACAGAACACATTCTCAGGTCTGTCAAGGACGTTTCATAATGTTTACATTTAAGAAGCAGAGCAATTTTGAATGATGAGAGTTAAACACTTAAAATCTCACCCAGTTTGCAGGCCAGTAGGACACTACAGTTCAGAAGCATCTGCTCTGACAGTACATTCAAAAACTAAGCAAGAAAAAAGAAGGAAGACTGTAATTAACACTGGGAAACGACTCATCAGTAAATTCGGTGTAATTTTATGACACTCGTCTCTCTCTGACGCACCTTTCTGCAGGATAATGTTTCTCCCACTTTTTGCAGCAGTGTTAGGAGCTGAGAGCCAGTCGGCAGCTCCTTATCAGTCCTCGGGCCAACAGCGATGCTCAGCAGTTCCTACATTAAAAATTAAACCCTTTGAGTTCAGACATATCGTTGACTTTTACATATTTAAGATCTTATTTATTACATGGACTTTCTAACATTCTGGTGAGGCACACTCGTGATTTAACAGTAAACTGTGTGACATAGTGGGGAAAAAAAAAAAGAGAAAAGAATCACAAATGAAATGTTGTTATTACAAAGCACTGCTGGACAAAGTACTAACACAAAAAAAAAAAATAAAAATACCTTCATTTCAACGATGATGTCAGAGGGCAGTGAAGCACTGTGGTCACAGTGGGGAGGACAGGACATCACTCTCTCACTTCCTTGTTTCCTCTTGGGAGTTTGTGACTTTTCCTGAGGGACCAGCTCAGCCACAGTTCTGTCCACATCAGAGTCTGGAGCAGGTGGACTACCAAGAGCCTTCATCACGCGGTCATACCTGCTCTTCCACTCCCGTCTTACGAGTGCTTTATAAGAGAGAATTATAATGAGAAATTAATGGAAATTAGATATCCTGAGAGTGCTTCTCTCATCTACAATGGAAATTATGTTCTTAAAATAATACCGGCATCACAGAGTTTGAGGTCAGTTCAATGTTTTTGTACGCTTTAGTCTGGAGGCTTAGTTAGTAGTAAAACAGGCCTAAGTCGAGCACAAAAAGCTTGCAAAACTACTGCCCTGCCATAAAATTCAGCCTTTCCTTCATTTACATTCATTCAGCAGTTCAAAGCAATCAATGCATTCATGTTCCAGTGGGGACTTCCCAAAACTGTTTTTAAAAAGTTAAACAAAAACACAAAGACTTGCAAATCTTATAAACCGAAATTTTATTCAAAATAAAACATTTAAAAAAGAAAAATGGAAGAAATTGTTTGAATTTGTAAAAATGTATAATTTAAGGGAAAAGAAAAAAAGAAAAAAAAAAAAAGTCATTTGAATTGGGTGGCAGGCCTACGTCTCCAAAAAAAGTTTGGATAGGGCCACGTAATCACTGTGCATCATATTTTAAAAACAGTTCATCAACCCCATCTCCTACCTGGGACTGATGTACCTGTATGTACTTTTCAGCACTGATGGTGCCTTTCCAGCTGTGCAAGCTGCAAAATCCATGGACACTAATGCACCCCCATAACCAACAGAGATCCAGCCTTTGGAACTGAGCACTAATGACAAACTGGATGCTCCCTCTCTTCTCCTCATTGCAATTTTAATCCATCTGACCACACAACAGTTTTCCACTTTGCCTCAGTCCATTTTAAATTAGCTTTGGCTCAGAGAAGACAAAATGTTCTCTGGATTATATTCACATATGGCTTCTTCGAGAAGGCTTGCTCGAGGTCCACCTGTCTGTAAACAATTCCCCACGTAATGTTTTCTCGAACTCTTCCTAAACTCAAAAATCATACCCGTTTTAAATGCAGTGCTGCCTGAGGGTCCAAAGGTCAATCTCAGTTAACCTATTAGGTTGAAAGATTTTCTTCCAGGCGTGTCCTTTTCAATACCACTCACTTTCCCAGCCTTTTGCTCCCTGCGCCCTAGCTGCCATGTTGCCGCCATCAAATTAAACACAAGTGTATAAATGCCTCTAGGGATGGGTACGAAAACCAGTTCTTGTTGAGAACCGGTTCCCATTGTTTCAATTCCTTGGAGTTGTTTGCCATTTTTGCAAACGATTCCCTTATCGATTCTAGTCGCCCCGAATTACATCACCACGTTGCGGAACGTTTTGCAACTTCGTTGGCCGAAGTTGCAAAACTGGCAGGAAACACGGCGCCTAAGCGGCTCAAACGCTGAAAAGTTTGGTCACACTTTACGAGAACAGATGACAACAGGGCAACTTGCAATACTTGCAAAGTAGATATTTCAATTAAGGGAGGAAACACTACGAATATGCAAAAGCATTTGCTCACAAAACACGCGATGACCTTAAATGAATGTCGGGTTTTTAATTCCGCTCCGGACTCGTGAATCTCAACCCAGCAGCAGCGGTAACGTTTGCACGTCCTCTCCCGTTAATGCGGCAGGTAAATAATCAACTAACAGTGCATATTATGTTAGCGCGATCTGCCTTATTACAAAACCTGCCATTACTGTGCATTTAGGTGACCATGATGAGAGAGACAGACAGAGTCTGGCTCAGATGCTGGCAGTTCTCGCTGCAGTCTACCGGTAGCGTCTCCTTTCAGGCCAGGGTAGACGAATGTCACCGAGCAGTGACTAAGTTTGTGGTAAAAGGCTTGCACCCATTTGCCACAGCAGATGCCCCCGATTTTCGGTAAGTGAATGTGTTTAATTGTAGGCAGGGACATTACTGGATATTCTTGTGTAATTGCTACTGAAGAATATTTATTTT